TTTTTTAGAGTGTTTCTCATATAATCAAAGAGTTATTTTGATTAAAACAATCGTGTTTACATATTCCAATCTTTAATTGGTATCAGAGCTTAGGTTGAGAAGCTGTGAGATCGATTTGTACCTGTTGACGAGTTAGGTCAACATGATAGATACAGGGGGAGAAGGAGAAGCTCCGGTGAGAGTGAAGGAGGTTGGGACAACCACAGTCACATGTCCGATGCTTACATCCACCAATTACACTGTATGGGCAATGCGTATGAAAGTTGTCTTGCGTATCCACAAAGCCTGGATTGTGATTGATCTAGGAACCGAAGTCAACGAAGAGAAGGATTGTCTCGTCATGGGTCTATTGTACCAAGCCCTACCAGAAAACCTCATAATGCAGATTGGAGATCAGGATTCAGCCAAGAAATTGTGGGATGCTATTAGAGCATGTAATGTGGGCACAGATAGAGTTAAAGAAGCGAGATTACAAACCTTGATGTCGGAATTCGATCGTCTGAAGATGCTCGAGTCAGAAACAATCGACAGCTTTGCAGGAAAGCTGTCCGAAATCGCGTCTACATCGTCGGCATTAGAAGAAACGATTGAGGAATCAAAATTAGTGAAGAAATTCCTCAAATCATTACCCAGAAACTTCATTCACATCGTTGCATCTCTTGAACAGGTACTAGATTTAAACGTAGTGGGTCGATTGAAGGCATATGAAGAAAGAATAAGGGAAGTCGATACTGGAGAAGAACAATCGAGGGCTCTATTTGCCGAAAAATCGACGAGAGATGGAGGTGGGTTGTCGGCTGGTGGGGATAACTCATCGGGAATGAAGGGAAACTGGAAAGGATCGAATAGGTTTAATAAAGCGAATGGTTTTAATAGGACTGATGGGTCAAGTGGATCCGGATCTGGAGGGTCATATGGGTCAGGCGGGCCCAAAGGAAATAATAATTTTTCTCAAAGTAATCGGCCCATTAAACAGTCCAATTCTGATTTATCTCAACCGAATTGCAAAAAATGTAATTTTTGTTGCGACAAAAATCGGAAAAATAGAGACCGATCTAAGGTGATTTGTTTTCGGTGTGACAAACCGGGTCACTTTGCGTCTGAATGTCTGGAACGACTCCAAAAATTACGAGAAGGTGATTTTTCAGAACGTGACGACAGCAACGAATCCATGTTCTAAATACGGATTAGGTTGAAGAATTCTCTAGAAGGACTTAGAGATTCGGGGGTGATTGTTGGAATCCTAAGTCGAGTAGGACTTGGAGACCAACCTAGTTTTTAGGAAATAAATAACAAGACGGTTTCTAGTTTCCTAATTGTAGTCTAATTACAAGTCGATAGTTAGGATTATATATACATTGTTTTAGGTCGAGCCATGATCATTGGAAAAACATTGTAATACCGTGAGTTTTGAGAGAGTTTCTCATATAATCAAAGAGTTATTTTGATTAAAGCAATCGTGATTACATATTCCAATCTTTAAGAAGACCGTAGCGATGGTCGATGGTTCAACGCTAGATGGTTTGAGTCGATGGTTCGCCAATGGAATATATGCTTGAAGTTGTTCGCATATATGGCTGAAGTTGTAAAATTGAAATCGACATGAGATTGTGTTACTGAAAAAGCGAAGTCTGTGAAAGATTGAACGCTAAAGGCGAAGGATCGATTATTGATTCGATTTTGTCAATTTTGGAGTCTCAAAATTTTGATGTCGATGGCTAGTCAAAATGTAATGAAAAGCAAAGAACGAGGCTGAATTGATTTAGAAATTATTCAGTGTTTGAATGGCTTCGTCTCTGACTGATTAAGCAGGCGCTTTGTGTTGAGGAAAATACCCACTTCGTTGACGAATTCATGAAACTAAAAGCGAAGCGTGTAGGATTCGTTACCTGTATAACGAAGTGAATTGGGGAAGAAAGCAATTAAGTTTTGATTTTGGTCCTTACACTTTTGACGAACTGGCATAAATGGTCCAACTTTGACTTTGGAGTAAAAATGTTTAAAGAAGACTGATGGTTTCTCATTTAGTCCTGCAATTTTGATATTTTGTCAGAACTTACCCAACTTTGAAATTCTACTAACAATGCTGAGAAATGGAGAATTTTACGAGTTCAGTCCCTACAGTTAATGCAAATTTACACTTTATGCCCAGTTTCGTAAATGGGGTAGAGTTTCACATCTTAAGTTGTTTTTGGTGCAACGGGTCCCTGCAGAATTCTGAAAGTGAGAGTTTACCTAGTTTATCTATTTTCTTGCAATTCTCACCCAAAAGTAAAAAATTTTCATAGATTGAAATTTTTTCCAGGTTTGTCATGATTGTTTTTCCATGCAAGTTTTTTGTGGTTTCATTTTTGGCACACATCAAGGGGGAGTTCTGTGAAGATTATTCCTCGGACGCATTTCACCCTTAATGGGTTTTATAATCATTTTTGGTTATAAAAAGGGGGAGAATAAAGCATGTGTATTCGAAGCTTCGGGTATTTATTTGTGAATTTGAAGATTGGTATCATTTCGAGGGGGAGTTTGGTTTTGATTGCACGAGCTCGTTGGATATTGAAAAATAAAAGAAAAATAAAAAATAAATAAACGAGGGCAAAATGGTCTTTTTATGTCCGGAGGGATGAAGCGTGTAAATTTTAAAATAACGAGGGACGGTCCGAGTTAATTTTTAAAAATAAGGACTAAACGTGCATTTTGGTCCCCACACGAAGGACGATTCGTGTAATTTACTCTTTATATTAACAATTTGGTACTTTGCTGCAATTATATTGGTCTAATTTAAGTTATTTATTAAATGAACTAGGTTAAAACCCGTGGAATCCACGGGTTTTGATTTTTAATTGAATTTAAAAATAAATTATTTAATAAAATAATATTTCTTTAATTTAGAAAACTTATGAATTTTAATATTGTATTTTTAAATAACATTTTGATTCGTAAGTATTTAATTACAAAGTAAATGGTAAGTATTTAATGAGAAATGTAGATTTTTGAAAACCCTTAGGTTATAGACGATTGTTATTTCCTATGATTCGAATAAATATCAATTGACAAATTAAATAATAATAAATTAGTAAATAAATGGTAATTTTAAATCATGCCAATTAATAATTTACATATTTATGTTATTTGTCTTTAAGTTTATAACTTAATTCTATAATGTAATCAATATTTAATATGTTTTGATGATACTTATGACGAGTTGTATAGAAAAAAAAATTATCACTAATAGTATAGTAACAACTTTAAAACACGTAAGTTAGCATAAAAAGTACCCAATTTATTGCACTAAGAAGATACCTTCAAATGTCTATGGAGAGTTCGCATACCAATAAGCCTAATGCAAAATCAATTATAAGAATCAGATAAATCATGAGATTCTGGTTCAAACAAATTAGGTTAAAAACCTTTTGCTAGCGTCGATTGCAAATCAAGACAAAGGTTGTGAAATTGGAAGTGTTAATAAAATTCAACACATCCTTCCATCTATTGTTCATATTTCTTGATTACAAAACCAGGTAATGGAAATAAATTAAGATTTATAAACGTAAATATTTTAAAATTGAAGGTGTTACCTACGTAATTGTGGAGTAGTTCTTATTGGGATCAATACCTTCAGATTTGGGGGTAATGTGTTAGTCGTTTCCATCTCCTCGAAATCCCATTGATCTCTGAGCAAGACAAACAACACAAATGAAAGATTAATAAAACCAAGATTTAATTCAGATGAGTATTTAGAAGATGACGATGGTTTACAAAAAACTGTGACCTATTCAGAGGCGATTTGTTCAGCAAGATAACACGATACAGATAACATAGAGAAGAAGAAGAATTCAGGATTAAGCTGGTACATATATATATTTTTTTAAATATTAACGTATTTTAATCAAGTCTTATATTCTGGGTTTTTTTTAGGATTTCCGTTTCAAATTTTGCGAGATTTTTCGTAAATTTGATTGATTTGTTGTTTGAGTTTCCTAAATAATAATCATTTCAGTGTAAGACATTAATCATGATACATTATATTTTAATATTTTAATTTTAAAGTCTCTTAATGAACAGTTTATTTATTTATGTATTGGACCACTTTTTTTTTTTTTAATAATTTGGCTCTATTTTTATTTTTAATTAGTTTTTTAATAATCTGTTTGTTTTTGTGTTGTTGATTTGTGAGTCTTTCTGTATACGTGTACATCCACCTCTTCAAAAATCTATTCGTGTCAACACATGCTCTTCCAAACTATACATCATTACTTTCTATGTTGTCTCCCACTTTTCCTCTTTTCTTCGTCCTTCCTCCCCCAGTGGAACCACCGACTTCAGTTCTTGCCACAAGATTTCCCCATGAGTTCTCTCAATTCCTTTGGTTGTTGGAGCTGATATTGGCTGTTCGGTTTTAGGAATTCCTAATCTGTTGGATTTCTATGCTCTATCTCTTCCACTGTTCCTCTTTTCTTCGTCCTTCGCCCCCCCCCCCCCCCCCCCCGGTAAAACCACCAATCGGCTCCATCGTGATACCAGTAGTGAACAGGCTTCATGAACTTCTTCAAGCCACTAACTTCAGTTCTTGCCACCAGCTTTCCCGGTGGGTTCTCTCAATTCCTTTGGTTGTTGGACGTGATATTGGCTGTTAGATTTTGGGAATTGCTAATATGTTGGATTTTTAGTGCAGTTGCTTGGGAAAATCGGTACTTGACGACCACCGCTTTTTACACCGACCACTGCATCGCAGTTCCTGTCTTCCAATCAGCTATTCACATTTATAGAGACAAAAGTGGGAACCTCCTTCAAAAGATAGTCAGGGTTAGTAGCGATTCTTTGTTCATCTATTTTAGGGCTTTTTTCTGCTTATTAAAATCAAATTCGGAGACTTCGTTGTGTGATTTGCATGCGCTCTGTAAATGGTTCCCTGTCGATGGTCTAGCCATACGTTCACCGACATCTCCATTGTATTCGATGAAATATATGTTGTTCATTTTCCTGTTGAGCAAACTGTGCCAATGGTGATAGCAATTGGATTCAGTCCTTGTGATTACATATATGATTCTTCATTGGATCATGGAAACCTAAGAGTTGAAACATTGTTACAAAAATTAGAAGAGTTTGTGATTAAAGATGAAGAGCTTAATAAGCAAGAATCAGTTGATAGAATTGGATCTACTTTGCTTTCAGGATATCTTTCAATGGCACTGTGTTGTATCCTTTTTCATAATTTCCACCATTTTGTGTTTATCTTATGTTTTTTTAGCATGCATCCTACTTTCATTTCTTTTTATCACAACATTTTATTATTTTTAATATATAAAAAGATTGTTTAAAATAACAACAATGATTAGACATACAAAGAGTATTTCGTTCTGGATCAATTCATCCACAATCTCGGGTGATTCATAATTCTTCTGCATTCATCAATTAGTTTATAAATTATAATATAAAAATTACCTATTAATTTAATTACTCTGATAAGTAATGACAGATTTTGTGTTTACATGGATCACAAGATGGACCTCGAGAGTATGTCTCTCAACTTACTTTCTTCTTTTTTTTTTTAATTTCTTTTTTCTTTTATTCTAACAAAAAGATTTTATATTTTTCAGATATGTTGCTATTATGAATTCAATTTTTTCTACTCAAAGATCAATGGTGCGTATACATTCATGTGTTATTGGGTCACAACATTCTGCATTCCTGCAACAGGTGAGTAAATTACAAATTTGTCCCTTTGTTTATCTGCTAAATTGACCATTATGCCCTTACTTGAATATATATTGTTGTTATATGATTTGCAGGCTTCTTATATAACTGGAGCTGTATATCTAACAGTATGTAACAGTATGTTGAAATATTCCACCCTGACATTTCTTTAAAAAAAAACTAAATTAAATTTAGACTATACTTTTTTTATGCATATAGTATTTGCAACAGTTTTGCATTCAGGAAACTTCTAACAACTCCCAAAACATGTTGGTGTAGATTTTCGTGCTTCATAAGTTATTTATTTATTTTTTATTTTTTTATATATATTATTATTTATATGATATAAAGTAAATTTTATTTAATTATTCGAAAAACGATCAAGTGTTTTTGACTGGTTTTCTGAAATTTGAAAAAAAATCATACACGTTGAAAAAATAATGATATGAAGTGTCTAATGTTAAAAAAATGTTTAAAATGTCCAAAACTGGCAGAAAATTAAAGTTGGATGCTAAAAGAGTTTGATGTTGAACATAAACACACACGCAGTAAAACACATAAGAGCTAACTGTTAAAGTACATTGTTGTAAATTAGATATGTTTAATATTAAAACGTTATAAAATACAAATTTCATTTTTTTCAAAATAAAAGCAACACACACAAATATAAACAACTAATAACAAATATAATAAATTATGAGGAAATATATTACGCACATAGAAAGAGAAGATCAAAAAACCACACATAGTAAAACGCACAAAAATCACACACTGTAAAACGAACAACGTAATATGAAAACACACACACACACAGAAGGAGAAGAACACAAAAAGAAACAAAAACAAAAAGAAAGAATTTAAACTAGTTTTTAATATACTTACCTGATAGATTGAACTCTTGTGAATGAACGAACATGTGTATTTTCAAAGACAAAGAAGCCAAAGGAATTTGAAATTTCGAACATAAAAATCTTTATTTGGTGTTTGGGTTTTATAACTGAAATAAAAAAAGGAGATTTTAGTCAACAAAATTCATTAATTGTGGTGGAATTCAAACGCAATCCAGGGTTGCATTCCTTTTATCATAGATGCATATTTGGTATAAGGTAAGAGGAATAAATTCAAAAAATAATTGCAGATTTTAAGGGATATAATATATTAAATGTGTTTAAAAACTAAAAATGCTGACATATAGGATACTATGATTATGGATGGGATGAATGACTACGTGATGAATGAATTGAGAGTATGCAAGAAGAATTCAGATGATGCATGATTTCAATGAGGATGCAGGATTTCAATGCGTGATGAAGAAATTGAGATGATTATATTACTTTACTATCAAATTATATTAGTAGTAAATATTAAATTTGGTTTTTTTTTTTTTTTTTTTTTGGAGGGATTCGAATGGAATGATGTATACAGAGTATCTTACAACTTACAATCTTATAAATCGGGAAGGAGGTATATCAACCCAATGCTTATTCCAATTAGAATAACCAAACTTCCATATTTTATTGGATATGATGAATTTGAAATTTGAATTTACGATTTCTGCATATTATTTTGAATTATTATTTGGAAATCTTTCATCTACATTAACAAATCTATCTTCGGTATATTTTTCGGATTTATTGAATGACTGTATATGAATATGATCTGGAGGGCAGTTTTGTAAATGTAGATGAGGTAAAGACTCGTGAAAACACGATTTAAGGCTGCTGGGAGATTGACACGTGGACAGATTCTACTTATTTTAGGATAGGGGATGTAGTTGAGACTGTTTGGGGTATTGTTGAAGTTTGTTAATTTTCAAAATCACAGTGGCTTCTTCTTTCTTACGTTTCGTCTATTCCAGATTCCATGTTGTCACACATAAACACATAAGTACGCTACAAGAGCGGCTCCAAAACTAGGGTTTTTTTCACATGTCTCTGATTGGTTCCTTGATTTCTATCTGGTAAATTAATTTGATATTATATTTTGCTAAAACCAGATCCTGGACATTATGAAATCATGTGATTGTGTTACATGAGCTTGACTTATGATGTTGTTGAGCAGCAATTGGTGTTTTTTTTTTTCTATTTCTTATAATACTATTATGGTTACCGTCTTGTAATCAATAACAAATCCAAATTTTAATGCAGATTGGAAATAAAGATGCTATCGAGAAATATCATTGTCGGACGTAAGTATTATGATTTGTTGTTGCATGATTGTGCTTGAATCTTCATTGGATTATTGTCTAAGATGTGGTTGAATTTTTGTTGAAGTTTCTGTGATTTTCGCCATCAAATATGAATTCAATAGGGGATATTTTGGTAATATGGATGAACTCAAACAACATGGCCGTAAGGTAAGACTGGTTTTAATAGATTATTAAAGCAAAATATGAGTTGTTTACTTGAATAAACGTAATTTGGTCATGTCATTTGCAGATTGTCATGAAAAATAAGGTTATAATTTCAGGAAAGCTTTGAAGCTCTCTCAGCTAGAAGTAAATTACTCAAATGGCAAATGTTTCAAACTACCAATCACTAATTTTGGAACCGACTATAACTCAACAAAAACCAATACCCTAAAACTGACATTCATGTGTTTTTCGGTACGCAACTTCACATGTTCTAATGTCATTGCCTTTGTCATTAATTTAGTAAAAGAAATCACAATGTAAAATCCTATTATGATGTTTTTGACTTTTTTTTTCATTCATGGATTATGCAATTGTTTGATAATATGTATATTTCAATAAATATATCAAGAAAATATCCAGCGTAAACTCCTCTCGCAAATGGTTTAATTCAAATCCGACCCCTGCAAAGCAGGGATACTTCCCTAGTTATAATTAATATACATATGAAAGCATAACTTGATTATGAATAGTGAACTTTGGGTCAAATTTACAAAATGGCCCCTAGATTTTGTTGAAGTAGACACTTTTGATCCATTTTTGAGTTTTTTTTATATATATTAAAGATTTTAGGGAATTGACCTAATTTACAAAAATGGTCCATAAATTTTGTTGAACTTGACAATTTTATATTTTTTAAGCGCTTATGAACATAAGAATTGGCCAAATTTACAAAACTGGTCCCTAGATTTTGTTGAACTAGACATTTTTGGTCCCATTGTTGATTTTTTAAATATACTAAAGATGTTAAGAAATTGGCCAAATTTACATAAATGGTCCCTAGATTTTATTGAACTTGACAAATTTTGTATTTTAATATATATATATATATATATATATATATATATATATATATATATATATATATATATATAATATATATATATATATATATATATAAGATTTTGGTATAGAATTTGCTTAAATTTTAATAAATGATCCCTAGATTTTGTTGAACTTGATACTTTTGGTTTATTTTTGTTTTTGATATATATTAAAGATTTTTGTGAGGGAATTGATATAATTTAAAGAAATGGTCTCTATATTTTGTTGAACTCGACACATTTGGTCCAGATTTGTTTAAAAAAAAAAAAACATTTTGGGCAAACCCGATATCACCTACTAGTTTAATGTAGGGATTGAAGGTTATACTTTTCCGCAAGACTAATTCTTCTTCTTCTTCAATTCTTATTTATTTATTTATTTTTTAATTTTTAATAACGAATGTGCAAATGGGTCGTTGCTGTTGACTTTGACCTTTATATATAACGACCATCAATCTTTGAATAAAGCATGAAAGTATTCAGCGCAATAGCTATTCCTTTCTTCTCTGATTCTGTTTTACTCAAACAGATTTCGCCGACCATCTCTCGCCGTTTACAGGCCGTCTCACCTCCGGTAGCGCTGTACTTTTCACCTATTGCGGTCGCCATTTACCTTATCAATCATAAATTCAGATAATAATCATTTGGTTGTTCATTAATAACAGGTGATTGTGATTTTAATTATTTCAATTACTTTTATTGATTTTTGTATACCAGTTAGGGTTCTACAGAGTCGAATATGTACTTCCTTAATTCCTCTCTATTTTCTAATTCACATACACGATTTTTTACATATGAGTATTTTTGAGTCTTAACAGTTAGCTAAACACCCATAGATGAACACGTTTTAATATGCTATTTTAAGAACTTTTATTGTTATATTCTATGAATCAGACTTTGTAATCAAAATCTTTGAAGAGGTGTGACTCTAGTTTAATATTCATATCATTTCGATGGATAAATTCAAATTTGAAAAGATTGTTCTTGCCAATATTACGGATATGTAAACAACCATGTCAAAAAACTTATATCTTTCTTGGGTTTGGATCTTTTAATTGTTTGATCTTATCTAGTGAAATTTGGGGATTGCCAATACGTTTTTGCAATTCCTTTCTTAGGATGTAATAGTGGATCCTGCAGTTGTTTGTAGAATGGTATTTGGTGTTGATTTGTTTGAGGATTGTTTAACTTAACTTTAGATGGAAATTGTTTAGACAATCTTAGGGATATCTGTAGTGGGTTAATCAGATCAAAGTATATTGGTCATTTCTGAAGCATACTGATTCACATGGAAAAGTCTTGAGGTGCATATGGTTTTAATAATTTAATTTAATTTTTTGTAGAGACACAATTGATGAAAGTGTGGGATTCAATAGCTAATTGAGATACACAAAGTCACGGGAAGAGTGAAGTGTCATCAACCCATAACTCATAATGGTTGTTCTATCTGAACTTTCTGAAGGGTCTTCATCTTCTTCATCAACTCATGGTCATAGATATGATGTATTTTTAAGTTTCAGAGGTGTTGACACGCGTCATGGTTTCACTAATCACCTTTATAATGCGCTTCTTCATGCCAATATCGGTACCTTCTTAGATGATGAAGAGATTGAAACCGGGGAAGATCTGAAACCAGAATTGGAGAGTGCGATTAAGTCATCTAGGGCTTCTGTTATTGTGTTGTCCAAAAATTATGCCACTTCCACTTGGTGTCTTGATGAACTGGTGTTGATCCTTGAGCAACGTGTGAAATCCAATCATGTTGTAATACCCATCTTTTATCATGTGGAGCCCACCCATGTCAGGAAGCAAACAAGTAGCTTTGGAGATGCAATGGAGAAACATAGGCAGAGGATGGAGGCAGAGACAGATGCAAATAAAAGAAGTAAATTGGCTCAAAAGATAGAAAAATGGAATAAAGCACTTATAGAAGTCCCTGATTTAAAAGGGAAGGATGTTAAGGATAGGTAACCACTTTCTTACCCATATTGACATACTTGTTTAAGATTGATTAATTAGTACATTCAAATTCAGCATAATCTTCTACTTATGCATTTCAATACGCCTCTTCATATTTATCAAATAAGCATACTTTTGATGCATTTAAATTTGGACAAAGATATGCTTGAAATTGAATCTAATTTTTGCAATTATGTGATCTCACAAATTAATTCATATTGGCCAGTTAAACCATCATGCTAACTTGAACACATTTGCTACGCATTTTTTTTATCTTATCACAAATTAGTTTATTTAGATAAATTATTTCAATGATTTTATATGCTTTTAATTAATAAACCAAATTTTGAACAGTCGTAATACATGAGCAAATTTTTATATCATTCTACCTTCAAACTATATCATCTTTTATTATGATATTCTAATGCTTTTACTTTGTAAGTAATAAATGTTAACTTATCACCATTCACCAAAAATTTGTTCATATTCATGCAAAACTATCGAGATTTATATAACCTTCCACATGGTTAGAAGTGCAAATACAATAATAGTTATGATACAAAAAATTTAATTATATAATAGCTTGTTATGATATAATGTTGATTTGGATCATTGAAAAAATTAAATCTCCAGTATGCCAGGTTGGAGGTGGAGTTTTCTAAATTATATGTTCTTGTTCTTACTAAAATTAAATTCCAGGCTAGAGGTGGAGTTTATTGATGAAATTGTCAAAAACATCTTCCGTAGATTACACATATCCTCAAGGTTTCCACTACCACAACTTATTGGGATGGAAGATTCCATTAACTTTGTCACTTCATGGTTGAAAGATGCATCATCACCTACTACAGATATACTCACTATTCTGGGTATGGGTGGGATCGGGAAGACATCTTTAGCCAAATATGTCTATGCGTTACATTCTCATGAATTTGACACAAGCAGCTTCGTTGAAGATATCAATAGGAAATGTGATGAGAAATCAAATGGGATGCTTGATGTACAAAAACAACTCTATAATGACATTTCAAAACCAAGTTCAGTTCAAGTTCTTGATGGTTCTATATACACCTCAATTATTGAGAATGTAGGAGCCCGTAAAAAGGTGTTTCTAGTTCTTGATGATATTGGTAGTATCGATCAGCTAGATAAGTTACTTGGAAGCAAAGGTTTTCACCCAGGAAGCAAAATTTTAATAACAACAAAGGACGCATGGTTGACACAGAGTAGTTCACCATTCAAAACGAACATTAAACCCAAGTATGCAGAGCACAAGGTTAAAGGCTTATCTACGATCGAATCACAAAAACTTTTGTGTTATCATGCATTCATGTGCAACGATCCCAAGGCAGGTTATGAAGAGGTATCAGGAAAGCTAGTGAAGTATTGTGAAGGACATCCAATGGCGCTTAAAATTCTAGGTAGGTCTCTACATAATCGAGATGTAACTTATTGGGAGGGGTACATAGACCGACTAAAGAAAGAAAATCATTCCCCTATAAATACAGTCTTGAGAATGAGTTTTGACTCTTTGCCGTCAGAAAATGACAAGGAGTTGTTTAAGCATATTGCTTGTATCTTTTTTGGAATGGATAGATATGTTACTGTAACAATATTAGAGGCATGTGATGTAGAGACAAGATCAGGGATCACGAATCTTATTGACAGAGGCCTTCTTAGTATCGGATGGAATAAAGAATTGACGATGCATCAATTGGTTCAGGAGATGGGAAGATTTGTGGTACGTGAAGAATCACTTTACAATCCATGGGAACGCAGTCGAATATGGGGTCATGACTCATTCAGAGCGCTGAAACAAAAAAAGGTAACATGCTTGTTTAAAGCAATTTGTATTTCTATATACATGTTTAACATTTTAAAATAATTTTGTATCCCTTTCTTCTTAGAAAATGGAAAATGCTCTAGGCCTCACCCTTGACATGGGAATGCTTGAGAAAGAGAAGTTACATGGATCACTTGAGTTGAAAACAGACGCATTGAGTAAGATGGATAGGCTAATGCTTCTACAACTCAATTATGTTCAAATAACAGGCTCTTACAAGAATTTTCCAGAAGAATTAAGATGGTTGTGTATGCATGGGTTTCCTTTGAAGTCTATACCTTTAGACTTACCGGTGGAGAATCTGGTTGCTCTTGACATGTCATATAGCAATATTGAATCATTTGGGATTTTTTATAGCTATCCGGAACGACTTCATAAGAGGCTAAAGGTAACTTATCTCTATGTATTACTAGATCTTCTATGTCGAGTTGATAAAATTCATTAATACTGTAACTTATCTTTTTTTTTTTTAAGCAATTGATTGGATCGTGCTCAAAAGACAAAACGTTGCTTGGATCATTGAAGATTCTTAATTTAAGTTTTTGTGAACAACTTCGTAGTCTTGGTGGCTTTGACCACCTCCCTAAACTTGAGAGGTTGATACTTAAAGGTTGCATTGGTTTGCTTGAGATTTGTGAATCAATTGAGCAATGTCATGAACTTGTCCACATTGATCTAAGCTACTGCAAGAAGCTTGAAAAACTTCCAAGAAGCTTAGGCATGTTAAAGAAAGTTAGAACACTATTGCTAAATGGTTGTTATTTCGGTGAATCTCAAATCAAGATTAGAGACATGGATTCATTGGAAATGCTCAAGGCGAACCACATTGGCATAAGTTCCATAACCTCTTCCTCCACCTTTTTCAAGGCTATACCACGTGATCCTAAGCTATTTTCGATTTTTTTACCGAGATCTTTAGTATCCTTATCACTTGCAAATAATAATTTATCCACCGAATCCTTTACCATTGACTTCAGTTCCCTATACTTTTTAAAGCTTTTGGTTTTGGATGGTAATCCTATAGTTTCCTTACCCAATAGTGTGAGAAGCCTTCCTAGGCTTGAGACACTTAGTATGGTAAATTGTACAACGCTGGCATCACTTGAGTATCCTCCACATACACTAAAATATTTGAACCTCGATCATAATTCTGTTTATAAGACTTTGCTACGAAAAGTTGTATTCGATCCACGAATGTCTCCACTCGAGTTCTTCATGAACTGGAAGACACCTGCGTCGTTTGAATTTGAAGGTGTTGTTAAAATTCAACCAATGGCAGGTGTTGAGGAAAAGGTATTACATTGTTTAGGCTGGACTAACCTAGACTTCATTAAAGGAAGGCACGTGACAACTTCTGTTAGTTATAGAGAACTAGAGGAATCCGAAATCCAGGTTTAGTCTAGTTAACCATATGTCTTTGTGTGAATATGTATGTATATATAATTAATGAAGGTGGTTGTATTTGGCAGATGTATTATGAATTTGGAATATTCAGCACAATTTATGAAGGCGAAGAGATGCCGAATTGGATTTCAGATAGAAGCATGGGGCCATCAATATCATTTACCATCCCATCATCTCTAAACAAGCTCAGAGGATTGAATTTCTGTTTTGTGCTGACACCCCATCATCAACATCGTATCCATGAGGTTCCAGTGATGAAAATTAGTAATATAACAAAGAACCTCACCTGGATATACCAACATTACATTGAGATAGTCAATATGGGTAGAAAGTGTTTGATGTTGTTAAGCCATTGGATGTTTGGTATGAATGAAATGGATGCTGGTGACCACGTTACTATTACTGTGAGGTTGGCACCAAGTGATGCAGTTACAAAGGAGTGTGGGGTGAGTTTTATGTATGATGATGGAGAAGAAAAAGAAGAAGAAGAAGATGTGTTGGGTTATTACAAGTCATGGAATCACATCATTGGTGGAGATCTTACCGCATTTCAGTTAACAACCGGGGAATACCTCCTAAGCAAACATCGATTTCTGTCGCCTAATATTGATATACCTTTTCCAAGCTATATGTTTCTGTGTGGAGAAGGAGCATGCTTGAAAGGTAGATGTCATTCTTATGTTAATACCTTTTATAGTATTTTAATTCGTATTTTGATTTTCTGCAATCATGTCAGATCTTTAATCTAATTTTTTTTTTTTAATTAGATGTGCTATTCTACTTCAAAGCTTTGTCCCAACGGAAGTCTAGCATACTGGAGGATGTCCCCTAAGGTACTACCCTTCGGGCGTTGTGGAATGAGAACGACTTTTTTGTAGTTTTGTTTTGTTTTTCTTGTATAACACAATGACGATATGGGCTGAAACTAAAATACGTATAATCTAGGCTGAAATTCGTATATTCTTTTAGCCTAATTCTGTTTTTCATGTTTATCACTTTTTTGGCCCCTCATTGGCCATAACCCAACGATTCATCACTCATGTTAATTGCAAATTTGTTTTACTTACGTGACTAAATAACCAATAACATAATAAGTAATTGAAAATCAACGAGTGATAAGTTGAGTAGGTTGTTAATTTTGCAAAATTATCATTGATCGGATTTCTTTTAAATGATGGTTAATTTGGATAACCTTTTTGGGAATTATAATTTTTATAACTCTTTTGTGATAAAGAATTAATATGGATTAATAAAGTTAAGGAGTAATTCGGCTAATAATAGTACCGTAATAAATTCAGATTTTATACACAAATGTTAAGGGGCCATTAGTTTTTTCTACTTGTATCCTGTCTGAATAGATGGCCCAGCCGAAAATTACTTAAATTGGATATAAGTTTAAATAAATCATTATTTTGTGTTAACATGTGTGTTACAACTCGACAGACATACGCAAAGGAAATTCATTTTGTGATGGAGCTTTTGTATTGGGTGTGTATGGTTAGCATTGTCATTGTAGCAAGGACTTTGGAGGTGATCGTTTTGACTACCATTTGGATGCTTTAGAATTACCGTAATAATGAGGTGTTCAAATCGTCTAAATTGAAGAGAAGTAGTATTTTTGAAAAGATTTTTATTCATTCTATTTGATTGGTTTTCTAATAAAAATGTTAAACAGTAATTAGACCATGTGGTTACAAAACCCTTTGACCTGTAATGCTTCTTAATTTTTTTTTATTTTTTTTTTCATTCTAGCTCCTTGCTAGTTGTTTTCAATAAAATTAAGAGTAAATTACACAAATGGTCCCTATAGTTTGGGGTAATTTGTGTGCTTGGCCCCTAACTTATTTTTTTAACTCAGAAGGTCCCTACTGTTTGTTTTTGTTATACGTTTGGTCCCCACTGTTTGTTTTTGTTATACGTTTGGTCATGTTTTACCTAAATGACTATTATTTAAATAGGGAAAAATGATGAGGTAGGTAAGGTAAGGTGAGGAAGTGTGTTTATTTTTAAAAAAAAATTAAAAATTCAATGGCAAAATAGTCTTTTTAGGTAAGACAGGGACCAAATGCGTAACAAAAACAAACAATAAGACCTTCCGAATTAGAAACCAAATGCACAAACTACCCTAAACCATAGGGACTATTCGTGTAATTTATTGTATGGCTTATAATCTTTAAGCCTTAATCCCTAAGACATACATTAAAATTTTGAAAGTTTTGAGAGTATGCTTAGGGAAATCTTTTTGATGTTTTTGAAACCTAAAATATTTGACTAGGATAATATTTATCTTATTTTTCTAAATTTTCAAAAAATTTCAACTTTTTTATCCCTTACTTATTTAAACTTTCAAACACCGAGTTTGCCTTAAAAACAACGGTTTCCGTTCCCGTCTCCATCGAAATCCTTTCTCGCTCGTGTATCTCTCAAAACTCTAAACATATATCTCCACTTTTGCTCATATGCTCTCCTCTCTTCTCGCTCAATAATCAAGATTTGGTGGTGTTTATAACCTAGCTCTCGAGATCGGGATTTCAAATGACGAAGACTGTGGGACTTTATTTACTAGCATGGTGTATGATTGTGGGGTAATTGGATTTCCCCTCAAATTAGTAACGAATAATATGCTTACAGCCTATTTTGAATTTGACATGCTCAAATTAGTGTTGTTAAACAAGTACTCCAAGTGTTTGATGAAAAGCCCAACTGAAACAATGACTCGTCTTTAAATTACTGGAATCATGTTTGTAATATGTGTCTTCTATTAGATTATTTAAAAATCTCAAATCATGTTTGTTTTACGTTTCCTCTTTTGGATATTTATGCTTTATATATGTTGTTTTTGTTGTAATTTTTATTCCCTTTGCACTCTTTTAATTACATGAATGGCAATTAGGACATTCACGCAATATATTATGATGTCTTATTATACAGTTCAAATAAATATCTTTTACCTATGTTTGTTTTATTAAATATGCATTCTTTTTAAGTACAAGTTTTCCAGCTTCTTATATGAAATGCATAATTCATATTTTATTTTATTTTGATTGTAGTAAATTATCTCTAGCCTTACATTCTTTGTTCAATGTTAAATGCCAGGTGCAGTCTATTTTTTTAGGTGTCATGAATCCCCTTGATGGTTATGTTTGTGTTTTCTCGGTTCATATTTAGTTTTTTAATATTTTAATTCACATTTATTTCAAATCACAATTTTGTAGTGTGAAATAAACACAAATCACCCTAACTTTGATGTACCAATATTTTCTCAAGGTAATACCAACCCTTTATACAGATGATAATGGATCCAATATTTAATGAAATCGGGTTTTAATATTTTTGTCCTCTTTGAATCCCATTTTAGGCAGCCTAATGTACTTTTGTACTTAATTAACATGAGATTTCCTTTTTTGTTTATTTTATATAGTTTTCAATAATAGTGTCCTTCAATGGTGTAAAAACCAACAGAATGAAATGCAAAAGTGGAAAATAAAAAATTAAAAAAAACCATTTAGTGGGTGTTTGGGATTTCATCTAAAAACTCTTTTTTAACTTATTGACCTTTTGAAGACAGTAAGTTCAAAAAAATGTTTGGATACCTAAAAGAACTTTTTAAACAACTTTTGGTTTAATCTTTGAAAATGAGTTTTGAAGAAGTTACAATTTATAACTTATTGGAATGACTTATGATTTATTAGAATAAAAACAAGCAAAAGTCAATAAGTTAGTCAAACACTTTTTATTGACTTATTGATTTTTGCTACTAAAAAGCTAATCCAAATATATTTTTTTTTAATCTTATTTTCCTACTTCCATAAGTCAATAAGTTCTTTTTGGTAAAAGTCATTTTTATCTTCAAAATGAAATCTCAAACACCCGCTTATACAAACTACAAGAGATAAAGCAAACAAGAAACAATGTTATTAATTAAGAAAATAAACTTTGAAGTTCTCATCCGGGGATTAATTTTTTCTTATAGTTTTTCCTTTTTAATGTATTTGTATATGTTTTAGTTAGATTACTATTTTTTTGAAACGGCAAATATACTATGAGAAAATGACTTATATGGGTAACTATGTTTCAAAATTGATCGAAAAACACCATTCAAGTTTGGTGTGTCCAAAAAACATCATCCAAGTAAAACATTTGTACAAAAAACACCAACGAAGTATATTCTTTGTTCAAATTTGACCTTATGGTAATCGGCAATTACCGGTAAAAAATAATTAAAGGAAAAAATAAACAAGAGGAAATGACTCAAAGGGGTAACTAAGGGTACGTTTGGTTGGCAGGAAAGGAATGGAATTCGAGGGAAAATGATTCCAATTCCCTCGAATTCATGCGTTTGGTTGGACTTAGAAGAGGGAAAATGATTCCTAAATGAAATAAACTTTCCACCATATGGAGGAAAGTGAATTCCTTCCAAAGTTGGATGGAAAACATTCCTTCTCATCAAGGAAAGTGACAGATTACAAAAATACCCCTTGTATTTGTCAAAAAACCCACCACCACTACCACTACAATCATTGACCACCACCACCAACGACACTCCCACCACCACCATCACCACCACCGCTGCCGCCCCACCGTCCACCACCACCACCGCTACCGCCACGACCACAACCACTACCACCGCCGCCACTGCCACCGATCACCACTCGCTGCCACCACCACCCACCATCACCACCACCGCCGCCTCCCACCGTCACTGCCTGCGACGTCACCCCCACTACCATCATCTTCGTTACCACCTTTGTCGCTGCTACCGACCACCACCACCACTAACACCCACCACCATCGCCACCATTGTTGCTACCACCACCACTACCAATGTCATCACCCATCAACACCGCTGCCACCACCACCACCACAAATAAAACTACCACCACCACCATTACCAGCGCTGCCACCATCACCGCCACCCACCATTGTCGTCGCCCCCACCACCACTGTCACCACCGCCAAAATTTTACTATTTTTATAATTTTCATAATGTATTTTTACATATAAGTTAGAAAACAAGGTAAATTTAAGCAAAACAGGAAAAGGGTAATTATGTCATTTTATATGAATTCCAATTCCATTTCCTGCGGACCAAACAGATTCTGGAATTAATTTCAATTCCATTTCCTGCCAACCAAACAACATATGGAATTGGATTCAAATTCCTCACAGATTCATTTTTCAATTCCAATTCAAATTCCTTCAGCAACATTCTGCGAACCAAACAACGCCTAAGTTTCAAAATCGTTCAAAAAACACTATCCAAGTTTGGTATGTTCAAAAAACACCATCCAAATAAACTTTTTGTACAAAAAACACCAACAAATTATATGTTTTGTTCAAATATTAGTCATCGGTAACTGGCTCTTATAAGTTAAATGATGAGTTGGTTTGACTATTATAACATGACATAATAATTATTGACAAAACAATAAATGATATATTCCTCCTTTAAAAATTGATTTAGGGTTTCTTCATGAACGAATGACTTCTTCTTCTCCTATGATTGCTTTTCTTCTTCTAAAGTGATGATCTCGAACTCAAGTCCAAAATCCTAATTCTTAACTTAAGGCAAAAAGGGCTCCTTTACCTCTGTCTCAGTGGGCCTCCCTCCCTTTAAGGCCCAAATCTGTGACAACCTTCAATTTTCGGTCAAGTCAAAGTCAAATAAAGTCGAGAAGTCAAACTGCTCAACTCCGTTAACCCTTGTATATTAGGGTTTACAACATGTTAGCTACGGTACAACTCGCTATTTTAATAAGAAATTATCACTTGGAAAGTTCGTATGATCGAAATTCTTAAACTCTTCGGGTGTGTGTAAGGCTCTTAAACATGGCTTAATGTAGTTTACAAACCTTGCCTTACGAAGTTAAACACTTACAAAGGTCGCAAACAAAGTCTCTCTCAATCTCTCTTTATAAACCTCTCTCTATCTAAAATATCTCCCAAATCTCTCCAAGTATGTGAAATCTCTCCCAAATCTCTCCAAGTATGTGAAATCTCTCCCAAATCTCTCCAAGTATGTGAAATTTCTCCCAAATCTCTCTAAGTATGTGAAATCTCTCTAAGTATGTGAAATCTCTCCAAATATGTGAAATCTCTCCCAAATCTCTCTCAACTTTTTTATAATCACTCGGGGCATCCCGACCCTTGATTTAGTAAAAAAACCGCTCGAAAATGGAAGTTTATGCCAAAAACAGCCATTTAGGGCCGAACCCTCTTAGAGCCGAATCCTGTAAGAACCGAAGCCTCCTGGACCGAACTGCTCTGCTGAACCAAACCCAATGAAGAACCGAACCCGAACTTCGGAGGACCGAAGGTCCCTTCGGACCGAACCTCCTCTTTCGCCCCATTTCGCTTTTGGGTCCTTACTCGACTAGCTTCGCCTTCGGTTCTGGCTGCTGGGACCGAACCTTCGACCCAATCCGAGAAGCTTCACATATTTCCATTTTTCACCCGGTTTTCGACCACGACTCTGTTTTAAGCCCGTTTTTTATTATTTTCACGTGGGACTTTCACCCAAACTCATATTTTGACATATAAAACACTATATAATCAAAATTTAAACACATTTTTAGGGAAATCTTTATTTAAGAATAAAATCTAGTGGGTGCGATTTTGAGGTGGAGTGTTGACTTTACTTTTGAGTTATGACACAAGCAACCTACCACACCCACTCCAGTGCCATACTCAGTCACTATTCCTCCATACTTAGTCAACT